GGTTCTGCGGTCCCGCGAGCTGGCAGGAACGCCCTGTCACTACCCGAGCGCAGACACTGGGTGGACAGAGCCGCGGTTTAGAGGAACGCGGGAAGCCTGAGGGCGCACAGATGGGCAGCCGTCTTTCAAGTACACTCTGGCCCAGGGAGGGGTCCTTGCCTCAGACCAAACTACCTGGTGAGAGGGAAGGGTAAGGTTGTATGCCACACCCGGTTTTGTGTCCACACTTGGTGTGACACCAACATAGATGGGCTCTTTGGAGTTGGGTGGCTCCGTACACTGAGCAGTTCCGTGATCAGGGTAAAAGGGACTCCGGGCCAGCCAGCCAGAAGCGCCTTTGCAAAGGGATTCTGAATTGGCAGAGAATGCTGCGCGCAAGGTCTAAGGAGGCTTTCCATTTTCTTCGATGACAGTTCCACCTGCTGCTCTTCAGGGGAGCAGGCAGAGATGAGAAGTGGAAGATCAGGTACTCCCCACTCCTCCAGGAACTAGGCTGCCGCTGCCTATGCTCCAATAGTGACAGCCCCGCGGAGGCTGAGGCAGGATTGCTCGAGTTCAATGTGGGGTCGGCTCAGGAAATAACATAATGCTCTCTTAAAATGATGACATGTCTCTTAAAATAATGCTCACCTGAAAGCTTCAGTGGCCAAACCTAGGAGCAAAGGTGTCTGGGGGCATAACCAGGCACAAAAGAAATGTCTGGTGGGCGGGGACACTGTTCAGTCCTAGCACTGCTGTTAGAACACCGTCCTGAGGCTGGAACGTGATCCAGCTAAGAGCACACGCTGCTTTTGCAGAGGACACAAGTTTGATTTACAGCTCCCACATCCACTACTAGTTTTTCTATTCATGTGCACAAGAACACAATAAAAACAATAAACTGGGTGGTGGTAGCACACACCTTTATTTCCAGCACTCAGGAGGTAGGTGGATCTCTGGGTTCTGAGGTCAGCCTGATCTATAGAGCAAGTTCCAGAACAGCTAGGGGTACACAGAGAAAGCCTGTCTTGAAAAAGCCCAAAACAAAACAAAACAAAACAAACCCAAAACACCACGATAAACTAATTTTTTGGGAGACACTCTCATTGTGTGGTCCTGGCCTGTCTTTGCCTCCAAAGTGCTGGAATTAAAGACATTCACACCATGCCCAGCTGTAAATTAAAAAATAAAAAACGAGAAACAAACAAACAAACAAAAAACCAAACTACAGCCTTAACCCCGACCTACTGAACCAATTCTAAGTGGCCTTTAGAACTGATTTTTGAACCCTGTCCCCAGGCTGCTCTGAAGACACCTTGGCTGGAAAGGCCTGGAGGGATGAGTTGTCTTCTGCAGCATCTGAGTCTCCTGCAGAGTTGAAGCATCCTCAGCCTTACCTTCTGCAGTGTCAGTGCAGCACACACGCACACACACACATACAAGACACAACTGGTGGATAATGGTTCTGGGCACAGGAACAATGCACTGGGAGCAGGGCTATCGCTTCAGGCGCTTTTATTAGGTTCCACTACAGGGCTAGGGTCAAAGAAATGCTAGTTCACACCCAGCCAATGCACACCTAAGAGCCCAAAACAGAGCCGAAGTGGGAGCACCCATGGCCCAGGAACAGGCTGGTCAGAGCAACGCCAGGGCTAGGCCCCATCTCTGAGCCTGAAGAAGACCATGGCAGCCAATGGGTTCACCTGGGTAGGTATACCCACAGGCACCCCTTTCTGGGTCATAATGCCTGATGGCAGAGGGATTAGAGGTGGGACTGGGGCCACCTCCATGTAGGAGGAGGTAGCTGAGCTGCTCAGGCCTGAACCTTCTGTAGGGCTCACACCAAGCTGGTAGCATTAGCTTGACTCTCTTTGGACAATAAAATAAAGTGCATTACTGAACAAAGAGTTAACTCAAAACCATAAGCAGAGAAATTACAACAATTTCTTTAGCTGAAAGACAGAGAAAACAAGAATTATGTGGATGTCAGAGCATGAGAAAAAGTAAATGACTTTGTAGACAAAGATGAGTGTGGGAAGAGTGGCAAGGTCTCCAGGGTTTGTGCTGCCTAGCACCTGCCCAGCGTGAGGAACGGTGCTAGTACAGTTGGCATGGGGACACAGCTGTGCCAGGACGTCCAGTCTACCAGATCTCAAGGACCAGGAAAGACAGAAATGTGAAGCCCTATCCAGGGAGACCACCAGGAGGGAGGGAGATAGCCTCCCGACTCTCCAGGATGATCCTATCAATGCTAAACCAAATTCAATGGGTCCATAGCCCCAGGGCCTCTGACAACAGATCGCCTGCCAGGTGAAACTAGGGATGCTAACCCCAGCCCTGCCACATGAAAACCTAGCAGACCAGATCAGTGTGCTGCCTGCAAGGCCAAGGATGTGGAAGGCAGCATGGGTGTGCTCCACTAGACGGATACATATGGCCCCCAGCAGTCTGTGGTTGGCATAGCCCTTCCCAGGGTGAAGGATAGCTGACTTAGCTCTCATTAAGGCAAAGAGGCATCAAGATATCCATGTCTTACCTGGGTAAAGGCTGTCACAACAGAGCCACAAGGACACTCAGAGACCATCTTTAATTGCCCACATTTGCCCAGGCCTCACGGTGGCTGTCTCAACTGCCACAGCACTGTGCAAGGCCTTGGATAAAGGAACAGTGCTGGGGGAGGGGACCACAATCCCAGGGCTGGCCCATAGACTCAAAGGGGCTGACTGCCAGGCAAGAGCCACTGCTGCTCGGCTAAACCACCCAGGCTACCAGCTGCCAGCATCCTGTGGCACGGTAGGAAAGTCTCAGGCACTGAGGTTTGCTTCAGGAGAACTGATGGTGGCCCCTGCCCAATAACCACCTGAACACCCAGAGGGGCTGCACTCAAGGAGGAAAGAAAGCAGAATTAAGTCGCTCTCGCTCCTGTCTGTGCAGTTTTATCTTAAAAACAATAAATAAAAGTTTTCTGGGCAGGAATTATTGATAACTGATTTCAGGCAAGGGCGGGGGTGCAGGTCACTGCGGGTCACACCAAGGCCACACCTAGCCACACATGCTCCCAACGGGAGGGAACAGAGAGCCAGGAGCATCCATCCAAAAACTGGGGAGAAGGTGGGAGGCAGAAAACAAAAAGCATAGAGAAAGGAAAGAGAGCGGGGCAACAGCAGTAACCTCTCTGTGCACCCCCCAATTTCGGGTGATTGTTTGGAGGCGCTCAGTCCTTCCAATACAGTAGGGAGCTACTAACTAGGTGAGGCATGTGGGGTGCTCTTGGGCAGGGCAGGGCTGCTCTGCCCTTCCAGTTTGGAGGTTCTGTTCAACCCCAGCATAGCAGCTGGGGCTCTTTCTCTTCAAGATCCACACTGAGAAGCCTCAGTATATATCCGGAATGCCGGGGTAGCTGGCTCCACTGCTTCAGGCCTTAGAGGAAACATGTGGCGCTCCAGGCTTCAGAGAGGGCTGGGCTGGCCCAGTCCTGCTCAGCAGAGGGCCAGAGCCCTAGGTCCTGGGGAGGCTGCACATTTCGCAGTGGCCAGTGCCAGGCTGGTTCATGAAGGTGCAATGTTGACAGGCCCACATGGCAGAGGTAGCAGCACGTGCAGAGCCCCCAACTGCACCAAATTCCTGGAGGCCTGGGAGCTGCACACCAACTGTGCCTGCAGGGTAAAGAGCAGGGAGAACTCATCACTTGTGCACCGTGAGACAGGGCTCTACGGCACGGGCAGGGGGGCTCACAGATCCAAACTGTTAGCACATCAACTGCTCTGGTTCCAGGTGGCAAACCCCTGCTCTGCACTAGACACTTGCTCCCTTGTTGCTAGATAGAACCATCAAACCCCTGTGGTGGGCATCTGGGTAGTTTCATTCTTACACATAAACTCTTTGTGGACTTGTATCTTCCTCTCTCCTGGTAAAGGTCCAGCAGGAAGATGGTTACATCAGAGGCCAAATATCTACAGCATTCCTTTTTTTAATTTTTCCAAACAGGGTTTCTCTGTGTAATAGTCCTGGCTGTCTTTAAACTCATTTTTGTAGATCAGGCTGGCCTCAAACTCACAGAGATCCGCCTGCCTGTGCTTCCCAAGTGCTGGCTTAAAGGTGTGTGTCACCACCTCCGGTTCTGTAGCATTTCCTAAGATATTCAAACTCACTCCCAAGTAGAGTTCAGGTCTTATCTGCCCTATGTTCTCAACAGTGCCTGATACTGTCCAAGTTTTTTTGGTTTTTGTTTGTTTTTTTGTTGTTTTGGGGTTTTTGTTTGTTTTTTTTCATTTTAGCTACTCTGATGTCGTAGCAGCCCAAGTTTTCACTGAAATTTCCTTGATGAGGAATCATAGTACATTCCTACGTCTTCTTCTGCAGAATGTGTTAACGAGCCCTTTCTTAAGCTCCTGACTGCTGGCAGTTCTTACTCCTCTAGGTGGGAGGGACCCGTCATCTGTGTTCCAAACACTGTCTCCCTGTTGGTGCCTTTTCAGGCTGCCAACAGTCTCCTTCAAATAATACAACTGTTTAATTTTAAACTTAAATAATTTTCTTTTGTTGCTTGGGCAAGCACTATGCCAACAAGCAACAGCAGCAGCCAGCCCTGAACTCAGTGCATAGCCCAGTGCTCTAAGTG